ACAATGATACAATTCAATTCAAAGAATCTAACTTTCCCAATTTTCCCACACTTTCTCGGCACCCAAACAGAAAAGAAGAAACAAAACTCAGAATCATCGCCGCGAAACGCCCGATTCAGCTTTGCCAATTTGTAAATCTCTGACGGGTCCAAATATCCCAGACTAATTGCTGCGCAACTCTTCGGCAAATGCTGAGACCGAGTTTCAATGGCAAAGTTTTCGGTGCTTACAAACTTGTTTTCTAGGCTTGTTACATGGACGCTCCCATGGCACCTCCCTGGCTACCTCTTCGCCAGGGATAACTCTCGTCTCGCATCGGGTGGGGAACGGTGGATGGGTGGGGAAGGTTGGGGTTTTCTGTTTGAAAATGGGGAATTAGGGTTAGGGTTTGGGTTCGAAAGGGACGGGAAGAGGTAGGGGAAGGGAAGAGGTGGGGGGTGGATTAGGGAAGGTTGGGGGGACGAGGATGAGTTTGGTGGTTGTCGAAAAGAAGAAGAAGGTTGGTGCAGGTGGAGGAAAGGGGAGGCTCGCACCCCTAGGCCATTTTTAATTTTTTTGTTTTTTTATTCTTAATTTTTTAATATTTAATTATTAAAAATATATTTAATTATTTTTTAATCCAGTTGGATTAGTGAGTATACCCTGTCTCTAGCCACGTCAGCATTTAATAGAGAAATTAACAGAAAAACCGATGGAGGTCTGACATTATCACAAATTCGTAAGATGAGGTATGATATTGTCAATTTAAAAAATGAGGTATCAACAGTGTCATAACACCAATAGTTGAGGTAGTTTTTGGTCATTTACCCAAAAAGAAAATACAGAAGATAGGCCCAAAAGTAACCAGTTGAACAACAAAAAAATAACCCTAAAACTAGAACGGAACCAGCAGCCACCATATGCGCCTCTATCGCAAGCCGCCACCACCACCAAGAGAACGAACCGACTGAAGAAATAGATCACAAGAAAATGGGGGTGAGCAAGCCACCCGCACAAGAAGCACTCCCATAATCCTACCAGATAGTGCTAAAAGCACTTTGACAGCCACCCAACACCTGAGAAGAAGCACACAGGCCGAGTAGCAGAGGCCGATGGTTGAGGACGCGTGACGAAAAGTTGCACCAGGGCAGGAGAGGGCCATGAAGGTCTAGATTTGAGGCCAATTCATGGGAATTGAAATAGAGTTCATAGAACGAAGCTCAAGGGAAGCCAAAACAAAGACCAAAAGAAAAAAAAGGGCAAAGAAAAAACTTTTGAGTGGAATGAAGGAAGGAGGGAGGAAGGAAAGAGGGAGGAAGGAAGAAGGAAAGTATGGGAAAAAAAAGATGCAGAGGGTGGAGAAGGAAGAGAAAGAGGAAAGAAAGGCTAGAAAGTGGGGGAAGTCATGTTGCCGCCAACCCCAAGCCGGAGTAAGGATCAGCAGCTAGGGGGTTTCTTTTTTCTTGAAGGCAGAGAGTAGGAAAGGTTAGAGAGAGGAGAGAAAACTGGTGGCTGTGTTTAGTTGGGAGAAGTTAAATATAATTACCATCTTAAACTGTTGAGATAGTGATAATAATAAATACACGTTAAGTATTGTAATAAAATCTCACATTTTGATTGAAAAATGCGTTTGCATGTTTTAAGATTGAGTTGGTGCGTAATAAGAGAAAATGTTATAAGATAGTTGGAAGGAACTAGTGTCTAGAGCCTAAAGATCAGGTGATTCAGGCTGTTGAAGGGAGGGAGAGATCCGGTCCGGACTTTGGTTTATGTAAGGTAGGCCAGTGCGATGGCCTAATGAGGATGACAAGATTAAAAGTGAGTGGTCTGAATCACCTGATGTTATGATCTGTGATTATTCAGCTCTAGACACAGAGATCGAAAAGAATCTCGATTCAGTTGGAAGCAATCTTGAGCTTTGATTATAAATGCTATCCATCACACATAAAATTGGTGAGACAAAACTAAGCCACCTAACTCACTTGTAATTTTATCTATTAGTCCAAACACCTCCTGGATTATGAGCTTACAGTCACTGGTGTGAGAGTGTGATATTCCATTTCTATTTTGGACCTTATACCATCTGAAAATATTTTTCTGCTCTCCCAAATTCTGAGCTGACTTGTGATAGTGTTGATTCAAGTTTGGGGAGGGAATCTCTGCGTTCAAAAGTCATTGGGAAAAAGCTCTTGGATGAACCGGTGCACTTCTAGCCCGAAGACCAACCTGATAATCTGTTCTGACCTAGAGAAAGGAAAAAAAAATGGACCCGTGTATCCGTAAGAATAAGCTTGAATAAGCCCGTTTCACAAGAGCCGGGTTAGTTCCGATTTCAAAATCAAAATCCATTAATCGCCCCGGTCCGCCCGTTGCATTTTTAAACGAATCCGGTTCAATTCTTTCAAATTTAGGCTTAACTCGACTCGGCCCGTGCTCACCCCTAATTTCTATGACTCGCAACACATCTCCACTTTTGGAGTACTCCTAAAGAAAAGGGATGTACTTACTAATCTACTTCCTCAACAGACTTACTCTAGAACAGGACAACTCATTATTTATTGAAACATAAATAAATAACCCTAAACAAATCTTAACATCGTCGGCACTGCCACCCGCCCCTCGCTGCCGCCTGTCAGGTTCCAAATCCGACGAAACCGACGAGTGGAACTGCCGCCACCCCTGCCACCGAGTAAGGCTCTTTCTCTCGTATATAATTGTTAGCTTCGTGCTCTCTCAGATCATTGCAATCTCTTAATGCTGTGATTCGAACTCAACGTTTGCATGCATCATTAGGAATCTAATAACACCAAAATTTAAAAATTTAATATCTCCTTATCAAACCCTTAACCCTAAATCTGTTCTGGGAAAGGGATTCCTTGTTATCAACACGAAAAAGCATTGATCGACTCCTCCAGTTTTACAGGTTCAGTGGAGTTTTTATTTTGGCCTCTCCGGAGAAGCAGCAGCATCAACCACGGCAAGTTACATGGCGCCGCCACCTGTAGCCGGCACGGAAACAAAAACACCCACTAACGAGGAACTAGATGGCGAAAATCTGGATCATGAGCTGATGGCTGGGCGCATTTCACTACTGGCTTACCTGCCCGACCTTGTCATTCAAAAATTCTTCCAGCTTGTTCCCGCTAAATTTTGTGTCCGATTGAGCCTTGTGTCCAAGCAGTGGGCACACTTTTCGTCATTGGAAGCCCCCGTATTAGATTTTGACGTCGATGATGAAGGCAACCCCGGGTGTGAAGATGATCTCCGACTTGCAAAATTGTTTGTCAAGTTCGTGGAAAGGTGTTTGAAACGGTATGAGCATTGTCAAAGAGACAATGTCTCACTGGACAAATTCAGGCTTCGCATCGCATCATACAACCCTGACCTTATAGGCGCCACTAGCTTAGACAAGTCGTTGGATATCAGCCTTCGGCCTCAAAGAAAATTAGATGATCATGGGAGGATTCATGAAAACCAAATCGGATACTACTACTGCATGCCGAGCCAAACCCTTGTGAATGCAAATTTTTTACGGAAAACTAATGAAAATGGCTTGAAAACTTTGAGTTTTAACAATAAGGACAAAATAAAGGGTTAAGTGAATAGTACTAAGATTGATTTTTAGTGTAAAAATATGGTTTTTTGTTAAAGTGAATAATACCATGAGCTTTTCGTTAAAGTTACCAAATTTTTAACTAGTCTCAGTTTGGAGTACGTGAGACTAGGTGGCATTATTAATAGGAGTTACGACGTTTCTTGGGACAATGGGGATCTTCTTGAAGCTCTTGAAGGTGAAAGCCTTTTTCCCTGTTTGAAAACTATGTCTCTGGAAGCTGTCATCTTCCAGAAACAAAGCTCTGTCTTCTGGTTGCCCTTCCATCAAGTCTTTGTCATTAACTTCGTGTTCTTTTAGCGCCACCACAAGCATGCTAGAACTGGGTGATTGTTGTTCCAAGTTCCAGTCTCAAAACTTTGCAACTTATGCACTGCAAGGCTCGTAGGGTTCAAGTTGTGAAAGCTATAAATCTGGAATATGTGACGTTGGTCAGACATTTCCATCCATGAGATTTTGTTGATGGATAAATGCCACAAGTTGAAATACATCAACATCTCTACTCAGCACCTAAAGGTCTTGAGATTATCTGGATTAGGCCACCAACTTATTCTGAAGGCCACAATTGATCCTCCAAATCTCGACGGTATTTGTTTTCGGGTTATTTGAAGCCCCATGTAATTTCTACCAATGCTCCTCAGGTATTTATGGCTATGATCACTCTTTTTTGGAACGATGAAGAACCCGGCCCTTCATCCCATTCGCCATCCACAAACTTTCTTGGACTGAGATTTTCTTGCAAATTTTGACTGCTCCAAAGAAGTAAGATTGTGTTTTGGTGATGCTGCATCTGCTGAGGTTTTTGTTCGTCCAGAAAATTTCGGGACCTTGTTGCCTCCATTCCCTAGTGTCAAGAATTGTTTATTGTTCGACACCCCTCGTTGTCGACAAATAGAGGCCTCAACTGTTGACTTGTATCCCTCTTTACGTTCGATGGCACCTTCTGCAAAGACTATTAGAAGCGTAAAGTTTGTGGAGTCAATCTTGCCTCCACGGCCTGTTGTCCGCCGCAAATAGAGGCCATAGTTTCTGACTCGAGTCCCTTTTTCCGTTTGATCAAGGTGAATAGTTTGACGAGGAGCTTGATGATAAATGTGCAATACTGAAACAAGAGGTGATCACGTAGTTTTCATTACTCGTCAGAACATGAATTTCGAAATCCTCCTGCACTAGATAATTTGTTTCATGGTTAGTTTATGCGTTGTTCGTAACTTTTCAATTCATCTATGTTTAGTCTTTCTTTGAACTTAATGTTGGCATGGTAATCAGTTTCGTGTTTACTAGTGCATTAATCTTCAGTCGTTGAGTTAGTTGAAGTGTTAAGGGGTGTACGGATATCATTTCTCTAATAGAACGCTCTTGAGCAACCAAGTGTAAGTTCGTGTAGTCGAGAGATGCAGAAATCGAGTATCCGAACTAGATAGATATTCATTAATCCTGCTCGGTTTCATACTTTCAAGGAGAGGAAGATGAGCCCTATTACATCGGAGCATGCCCGTCTATACGAGATTAAGAATCGGGTATCTGTTTCGTTTCGTTTAGCAAAGTTTTACAAGAGAGCTTGACAAGTTTACAAGGATTTGATAGAACAAAACTGCATACTCCTCACATAATTTTCAATTGGAAGTGGTAGAACACTAGTGATTCTGTTTCAAAACCTCTGCTTCAGCCCTCGCCATGGGGTCATCCTTCATCTCGATCTCCTCTTCTTTTTCCCCTTCTCGTTCTTGCGTCAATTTTTTCCGGTGCAACTCTTCCGCAGCCTGCATGGCGGCCTTGTTCTCCGCCAGAATACGTTGCATTTCCTCTTCTTGTTGCTGTCTCTCAAACCATGTGTCTGCATCTGCCCAAACTGTCATAACAAAAAAATAAAAAATAAAAAAATAAAAAATAAAAAACGAAACATAGTTAAAGCATGCCTCAAATTTCAAGCAATGTACATTACCATCGAAAGTAAAACCTTTTGCTCAAATATGAACTTTTCTTGCATTCTCCTGTTGCTAAATTTTTGTAATCATAACCAAATTTACTTATAGCAAATTAATGTGCAAATTCCTTTACTAACGAAACCCTAAAACCAGTAAGCAGTGGATTTCCCTCGTAGATAAGGTATTCCTCTTCTATTCACTGACAATTGACTACAAGCCCGATTGAATCTTAAAACCCTAAACCCCCAAAGTTCGGCTAATTACTTATGGCTCGTTTAGAAATCCTTTTAATATAACTGAAAGCACTTTTAATAAAAAATATTTTTGAACTCTAAAAGTACTTAACGCATTTAAGGAACTATGCAACATTTAAAGGCATATGCTTTTTCATAATTTAATTGTATTTTGAACAGTCTAATTTAATATCGAATATGTCATTCACGAGATTCAAACTTAAAACCTTTGACTTCTAAACGAATAAGAATACTAACAGATCGTAGTACTAAGAGACAAATTAATACAAAAGAAAATAAAAAATCAATTACAAACCCTAACCCAAAACACACCAAAACCCAAGGATCAAAACATCCCAGCCAACCCAGATAATTAATTAATCAACCAAACCCATCTAAACAAATCAAGCGAACAGTCAAATCCGCACACAATTACCAACAATGTAAGAGATAAGGAGTAAAGGGGAAGAGGACTTACTGGGCTGGGCGGCCCAACCCTGTTCACCGCCCTTGATTTTCTCAGGTAGGGCGTAATTGACGGTGAGGACTCGGCCGTACAGCTCGGCGCCGTCCATGTTGTCCATGGCGGCGGCGGAGTCCTCTCTCTCCAAAAACGTGACGAACCCAAAAGAGCGGAGCTTCTGGGTGGCTTGATCCAGCGGCGTCTTTACGTCCTTGATGTCCCCAAAGGGTATGAACGCGGCGTGGAGTATCGACTCGTTCACCTCCTCCGCCAGTCCTCCGACGTACATCGTGTTCTTCTGCACTGCTTGCTGCGCCATTCCCCAAATCTTCGCATTTCAGAAAATTTTCCGGTAACTCTGCAGATTTGAGATTTTGGATTTCACCACTCTCCCTCCTTTCTTTCTTGTTTCTTCTGTGGGCCGCCTCTATATGAATGTGCCGTTATGGGCTTTAGGCCCAATATTTTTGTTATGGTTTAGTGTAATTCTTTGTAGATTTTTGTCGCCGGTTCCCTTGTACATTTGTTGGGTTTGAGAACTGTTCGAATCCAATAGGTCTTGGGATCGAAACTGGCAGATAGACTAAAGATAGATAGGGTTTTGGAGGTGGGTAATGCTATGGAGACTCTCAGGATTCTCTAGCAGCTCACAAATGATTATTTGAATTTGAATATTGAAAATATGAGGTATTCTAAAATACCTTTGTTTTCCTTTTTTAAACTTTTTTTCATGTTCATATTTAACTTCATTCAAAATATATACTCTTGTCATCTAATGAACAATAGACATGCGATAAAGAACATTTTAGTGTATTTCTTTCATAGTTGATAAAATACGAGATGTGTATCGCTATTACTTGAGTTACGTGTCTTTGTATTCTTTTAATATAAGCGATACTGGGAGGGTGATTCAAATACAAGACTTCGAGCTCATGTGAAATACTCTTAACCACTTGAGTTACATGACATTTTCAATATCTAGCGCTGAAACAAAATCTTGTGTGGTTTTTGAAATTTCAATGAAGTTGTAGCTAGAATAGCTCCCACACCATATGAGACCATTTTGAAGTCGTTGAGACCATAACATAAATAATTTCATACTTCTTATGGGGGTGACTTTATCAACCGCGCGGTTATAATGTCTTACCAAAATTCCCAATTTACGTTAAGAATTCCAACAAGAAATGAAAACTTCATTTTTTTTCAGAAAATGCCCTCCAGTCATTATTCTCAATAATTCTAGTAAATATTTATTTTGGAGATATCTGTCGCCGGTTCCCTGGTGCGTTGTTGGATTTGAGTTATGTTCGAATACAATTTGTCCTGGGATCGCAACTGGCTGGGAGAAAATAGCCAATATATTTGCAACACATTGAAAACTCTCTCCATCTATCGAGATAGCTGAGCAAAAATAATAATAATCCCTTCATCTTTGTTGTCTGTCCAATAAGTATGATAAAATATGTATACAAATGAAAGGTTTAGTGGTTTTTTTATTTATTGTCTAGTGTTATTTTTATTTACTTATAAATGAAAGGTTTAAGGTTTAAATCTTGTGGGTTAAGAGTTCAAAATGGCAACTTTGCTAAACGGTTTAGCGTGTTCTAACTTCATTCAAATACTGTCACATCTTTTGTGTAAAATGCAAATTTTTTATTTTTTGTGAAATATTTCAATGAGCGTTAAGGAAGACTGTCCAAAACATTGTCAAAAATGGGTTCCACCCTAAAGAATACCCACGGAAAATCATACGTTAATTTTTAAACTTCAAGAAAAGCCAAGGTGAAAATAATAGATTGAACGACGATTTAAGTACGAATTTATTTTCACCTCCAACTCAAAAACGATGCAGGGTGTTCACATGCAGAATGAGGCGAACCAAGGTACATATGACGAGCCGGACCCCTCGCAGGCAAAACGAGGTGAACTCTTGGGTGCTCAAAAAACGAGTTGGGCTCCACGTCTGGAAAAAATATATTTTGAAGCACATGTGACTTTTTGGCACCCCCAAGAATTTCATCCATTTTTGTACACTTTAGTTAATTTTTCTTTTATTTCTCTTACCATTACAATAAACTATCATATTCATATTCTTTAAAATATATTTTACCGTGCAAAATCTATTGTACACTAAATATACATTTTAACATCTATATATTTTTTCTTATTTTTTTACTTTTCGGCTTAAATATTCTACTAAATATACACTTGTTGCTGAATAAATCGTAAATTCGCTTCCAAATACATTATAAAGATTTCCTTAATGCTAACGGAAAATATTTTGAGAAAATAAAAAAAATTTCATTTTTCACAAAAAACATGGATTAACACTCACAGTTTTCAGTCGATTTTGCAAATTCGTACATAAATCACCGTTCAATCTATTTATTTTCACCTTTGCCTCACTATGAAGTTTTGAAAATTGAGGTGAGACTTTCCGTTGAGATTCTTGAGTGTAGAGCCTCACAACCATATTTTTTTAGTTTTCGGCTAAAATATTCAACTAAATATACATTTATTGCTTAATAAACCATAAAACTGCTCACAAATTCCTTAAAAAGTTTAAATTAATGCTTAGGAAAAATATTTTGCGAAAATCAAAAATTTGCATATAAAAAAAAAGGGTTAGGTAGGCTCAACGCACGCAAAACGAATCGAACTCAGCTCCCGCAGAACGAGGCGAACCATGGCCCGTAAAACAAGGCGAGCTCTGCTCACAAAAAACAGGGTGGGCTTCTGGCATGCAAAACGAGGCGAGCTCCGTGCATGAAAAATGAGGCAGGATATGTCACACAAAACGAGGTGAGCTCCATGCACGAAAAACGAGGATGGCTCCGTGCATGCCGAAACAACGCGGGCTCTATGGACGCTAAAAGGGGTGGGCTTCTATCATGTAAAACGATGCCGACACCACACTTCCAGAATGAGGCAAACCCAAGCACATATGACGAGCCGAACTTTGTGCACGTAGAACAATGCAAACTCCTAGGTGCTCAGAAAACGAGTCGGGTTCCACACACGGAAAAATAGATTTTTGAAACACATGAATATGATAGTTTGTTGTAATGGGAAAATAAATAAAATAAAAATTAACAAAAATGTACAAAAAAACATGGCTGTTAAGCGGGCTAGATGCACAAAAAACGAGGCAAACTCAGCTCGCACAGAATGAGACGACCCATGGCATGCAAAAGAAGGTAGGCTTCTCTTAAGGAAATGGAGTAGGCCTCTGACACGCAAAACGAGGCGAGCTCCGTGCACAAAAAATAAGGCAGGATACTTGGCACAAATCGAGGCCAGCCCTGCGCATGTAAAACGAGACTGGTTCCATGCATGCCAAAACAAAAAGTTAACGATAAAATCTTAAAAAAAATAAAGAAATAAAGAAATAAAATTTTGAAAATGAGGGATCAGTATGATAATAGCGACTCGTACTAATTACAATCGCTCCCACGCTTGCAATTTATATGAATGTGGGGCGCTACATAATTAGCGACAAATTCTCTTTAAAATCGGTAAGTAAGTACCGATCGTTTAATTTTCTATTTTATTTATTGCTTTTTCTTTTTTCCATTGAATTTTTTCTTTCTTCCTACCTTACTTTATTTATATTTATATCTTTTTTTCGAGTGTCTTTGACATGGATTATAAGAAAATTTTCACTGAAAACGCATTTTATAGAACATGAAGATGATAATTTGGTGTTATGGTAAGGGAAAAAAGAAAATCTTAATAAAAAAAACATAAAATAAATAAAATTGATGGTTTAGACACAGGTTGATGCAACAGTAACCTAAACCCAATGAGCTCAGGCACTAGCTGCAACCCATACTCATGCCCTTGGAACGCCCAAGGCGCACAGAGGCAGCAAAGGCCCATATGGTTTAGGATTTATGAGCGTGTGAATAGTAACATGTGAACAGTAGCTAGCCGTAAAAATTACATTCCGAATTCGGCGTGTTTTAGTGCCCAGTGTACTCAAAGGATTTTTGACTCGCCACAGCGCGGTGGATAAATTTGGTTTTAAAAAGGGGTTAATCAAGACGTTTACTATAATTTTCCTGAAAACAATGGAGACTCACAAACAAACAAGTCATGGATTTCCCCTAACCTCAATGACATACAATCTCCATATAATAAATTTCATATTTGAAATCCATACATTAAAATATTTCAATCACGATATGCATATGCATATTCCTCAATACAATTTTGAAAAGATATTTCCCTGACTCTCACAAAGCGAGGAGCATTGTTGGCTTTGTCTCGCCTCCCATTCAAAATTGTGATGAACTTTCCCTTCGAGTTGTATGACAAGGGCAAAATTGTATTGGATGATCACTTCTTGCGCAAGTACAAGACTCCAATAACCACGGAGATGCCAACAACAGCCGCTGGAACAATCCAGTATCGCTTTGTCAAATTGGCAAGCTTCTTGGGATAGCCGGGTGGCTGATTCTCGGAGAAAATCTCTAGCTCTGGAACATCCGAGGAAGTGGTGTCAAGTTCTCCAATGCATAAGGCTTTCATTTCCTCCCTGGCAGTTTTGCTGTGCCCAGCTTCTTCAAAATCTTCAGTGGCATCTCGTCCTAATGAAATCGAATCTCAACACGTCAGATTACAAATTTGTGTTTGTATCTACATTGTTGTTTAAAATGATTATCTGAACTGAAACAAAATGTTCGAACAATTGAGAAAGGAAGCTTAGAAATGCACCAGTTGCAGCCAGGAGTATGTCGTCTCCACCAGGGTGGTCGTCCAAATAGGTTGACACATCATACACCTGGGATTAACCAATGCACTATGATCAGATCATTCAGATTGATTTCAAATTTTAGTTCTCCAAATCATAACAAAACAGAGAAATCAAACCAGCAACGAAAAATTAAGTTCAAAATTCGTTATGGCATCGACAATCAAATTGATCACTTCAAAACAGATCAAGACACCATTTGGAGGATGAAAAACCTCCAGCAGTGATGGGGCTGTCCTCATTCTGCATGCTCAATATATCCGATATTTAGGAGAAAAAAGACGCCGAGATGCATACCAAATTTGACAGATAAAACTCACATGAATATTAATTCATAAATGCCACAAGCACAGTAAAGGCTGCAAGCATCATGAATAAAACACGACATATGCTTAAACCAGTCACCGGTTCGTTTGATGGAAAGAGAGTTCTTTAGGCCAATTGTTGGGTACAAAAGCCAGTTACACTTTAGACAGAATACAGCAAGAGTTGCGAATCGCAATCAATTACTTATACCACAAGACTACTCATCTGTAATTTAAACAAGATTATGAATAGCAAAACCACACATGACAGATCACTCCTGATGACAATCCAATCCAACCAAACTGTACTATCTATAGGTAAAAATTTATGAGTGAAGAGGAGGAAGCTTGACCCAGAAACAGAGAAACGCAGAGAAATTACAGCAGTAAAAAGTAAACTATCGATGAAAATAGAACATGGATTTTGCAGGTAGTATTCCAAAGTCTCAGTTCTTTGACCTTGTTTATGACCTATAGATTAAGGACACACTGAATCGTCCTGAACACAAACAACCCTAAAAGTTGGAATATTCAAAGTGTTTCTTTTGAAGAAACTCAAGAAATACCTTGCCATCGATGACGACCCAGCAGTTTGTGCTGTGACGCTTCTTGCATTGAATACAGCTTCGTCAACGTCGGCATCTTTCTGTGTTCGCTCAACCAACTTCAGAGATTCTCGTTGCTGCTCGTTTCTTCAACCTATACCAGATATTCTCTCTCTGTTGGTTGAATCTTATTCGGGAGGACTTGTATGGTGGTAGAGGTTTTCGGTACAATAATAGGTTGCGTGCGGAGGAGGTTGCTTGACTTTCTAACTATTTCGGCTGAGCCAAAACTCTGTATTTAACAAAGAAACCAACTTATAATCAAATAGTATGTTTATTCTTCTTACCTAACGCATCTTCTTGTAAAGATTTTATTAGAATTCTTATCGGGTAGGGCCTTTTCGAAAATTTTACAATAAATCGGCTCATAACATAGACCAAGAGGTGCACGATGCATGAATCGTGATCCATGCTATGAGCCGGGCCATATTACACTAATTTACAAGGATGAGGTCTGAACTCGAGTGCAAGAGACTGGATGAATTGACCTAACTCACACGTGCGTTAAACAAACTTCAATCACATTTCTACTTGGGAATGCCATTACAAGCAAAAGGAACACAGCTACATGTTTTGTAGCTTAACCTTTTAGTTTGTGAGACAATTAACCATCTTCCATCCAAACTTCAAATGCAACAACAAAATATTAGGATAGGTAGCACCACAACTTTAAATTACTGTTGATCAACGTCTACTTTTCCGGGTCGTTGGTTAGCTTCGAAGAGTTTACTCCAGATCCGTTAAGTTCGTCCCAAGCTTCTACCCAAGTAACCATGGCATCTGCCAGCTTGAGGAAGTATGGGTCGATCTTGCCAAGCTTAGCCTTGACTTGCTTCGAGAGTTCAAGGTAGCATTGCTGAACAGTAGTGCATTCTTTTGTAAGGACTGCAGATTGGAAGAAAGGGATCAGCTCTTCTTGCCAGAAGATACCATTGTACTCCTTTTTGAGGTTGACAAATGGATTGCTGGCTTTGCTGTGCCATATGTAGGGTAGACCAGTCTTGACTCCATATCCTAAATGATCACATATAACCTACAAGCATATAGATGTGATAAACTTTCTCCGACATCAGAGTAAATTGACAAGCAATAGATTCAAACAGAGAGTGCACCTAGAAAGGTAGGAGCTATTCGTCAAGAGCTAGAGAAACTATTGCAATACACTTCTCAGGTTATCATCTCGAAGTCTGTAAGTTATCAAACGGATATTTGAATTTCATACAAAGTTATCTTAATTCATTCTCGACAACATACAAATCCGACGTTGATCCCTTTCCTAATAATCCTAACGACAAGAAAGTTTAACCTTACGAACAACAATCCAATTCAATGTCACGATTGAAGTGCTAAATTCACCTAGAAAAAGTATGCAAGTACAAAAAGATAAAGAAGAAAGAGGGTTAAAGATAAAGAACTAAATAAGCAATTCAAATTACCTTCATGCACCAGCCAGCCCACATATCATCATATCTTCCAATTGGCTGACCATCACCCATGAGTCCGAAGTACATTGCCGGTCCAATCAGTTGACGGTTGAAAGCCAAGTTCATACCACACATAGGAAATAGAGTTCCCTTGGGTATTGTCAGAACTGCATCAACAAACCTGAAAATATTTTACCAAGAAATGAACACAAATACGAAAAAAGGGCTTTCCAGTGGTTATTAGTACAGTTTTGTGTTATTTAGGATCATTCATTATACCTAGTGTTTCTTTCCAGAGGCTTGGCAAGCTGGGTGGGAGCATCATAGTCCGGGATGTTGAGCCAGAGGCCATGAGAAACTGCGGTTGGAACACCCTCACGGAGGCTAAAAGGATATCCGCGTACAAAGTCTGCACCTTCTCTGTACGGATCATATAAAGTATTGAAAAATAGAGGAGTTGATGGATTTAACAGGTTCTTTATATGTTGTTCAAGTGCATTGATCTCTTTCCCAGATGGGTCTTTCGCAACCTGCATACAAAGATACAGATTTCAACAAACGCGAGATTTCGAAATTTTTCGCAGTAACACGAACAACGTTACGTATAATTCATACCAACAGATAAACACAAATTGGACGAACGTGAAATTACATAACACATCAAAAATTTGTTTCCATAAAACACAAAAAACCCAGATCAAAACCAAAATGCTTAAGTTATATGGTGTAAACTCCACAATCCCAATAAAAAAATAAAAAAAAAACCATCGCAATTTCTTCACTCGGAAATCCAAAATTTGACAAAAATTGACAAAACGCATAAAAACCCCGAACCCCATTTCCTAAAAAACTTCAAGATCCATCCGGTTGAATCTAAAATCTCATTTTTTTAGAGAGTGAGAGGGAGAGAGAGGGATGTTAATTCTTACAAAGCAATCGTCGTCAATGGTAAAAATGTACTTCTTCTTCGAGACCAAGTACCCAAAGCAGCGACAAGCAGAGTCCTTGAAGGAAATGCAGGAGGCCTTGGGACCCAGAATTCGATTAATATCGTTGCGATTGAAGAGCTCGTAGTCAAATCCGTCAGGGACCCTGACGGTCCGCGACGGATCGCCGTCCTGGACGATGATCAGGTGGTAGGGCTCGAAGTACGGCCGCCACATCTCCAAGAAGTCCAGGTTTCGAATCGTCGGGATCACGATGTCGAGCTCGTCTTTCAGGATCGGCGTCGGTTTTGCGTCGGAGAAAGCAGCTCCTCCAGCCATTGCTGGCTCTTGGTGGCGGAGCAGAGACGTACTACTGTTACAGAAGAAACGCAGATATTAAGAAAGAATCGGGTTCGACTTACGACGTTACGAGGAAAGCGGGATTTGTCTTTGACTCTTTTGACTGTTTATGTATGGTATAGGTGGACGGAAAGGTCACGTCGATTGTGCGTGGAAGGGTAATTTGGTCAATTTAATAAGTTCTGTAAGTTGCAGAATCCGAACTGGACTAGTCCATTTGTAGTGGGCTTCCAGTGTGATCCATATTAAAAAATAAAAAAAAAAGTTAAAGAAAATGATTTGAAAATTTTAAATTTTAATGATAAAGATAAAATAAATGGTAAATTGAATAATATCATAGTTGACTTGTTAGTATAAAAATATGGTTTTTCGTTAAGATGAACAGTACCAAAAGCTTTCGTTAAGGTTCCCTATTTTTAACTATGATGCTTAATCGGACTTGCTCCTTTATAATTTTTTTTTTGGGTAAAAATACTAATAATAATAATATTTTTTTTCACATGCCTTGCATAATGGAATTGGATCCCATCCGGATCCATTCTGTGGGGATCCCTCTTAGCGATTCATTGTGTATCGTGCAATCAGAAATTATTTATCTTTGTTTATTTAAAATTAAACACAAATAGTATCTGACGAAAACTTACCGTACGATGAACAGATAGAATGTGTGAATCCTTATAAAGTAAATCTGAAGAAGATCCTCTTCCTTGCATAATTACTTGGATGGGAGCCCACTGAATCAAGAAATCGGTTTGATTGTCTTCTTTTTTTTTTTTTTTTTTTTTTTTTAAAATGATAAATTTAATATATATATATATAAGACATCTTTTAAATTTTTACCAAAAAAAAAAGACATCTTTCAAATAATTTAAATCGAAGCAATTGGATATCCAATTTATATTTAAGAAGGACTGAGACATGGCCCAGAATCCTACTGAAGGCAGCAGTTGGAATTTTCTCGGGTGAAATGTCTCACCAATCTAGACCAACTCTATCAACAAATTTTTCACTGGGATATTCTTCTAATGCAAGCAATTGGATATCTGATTCATACTTGAGAAGGCATCGACAATCTCTCATTTTCATATCACCAACATTTTGTTCATACACGTGTCTTTCATTTTCATTGTGGCAAGTTTTTGTTTCAGAAACTTGTTAGGCATTTCCAAATTTTCATTATGCACTTCAAACTTTCTATATTTAAAAGAAAAATACATTTGTGTGTGCACAACGAGATTTTTAAAGTGCTAATAACAGTTCCATTGTGTTTATTGAGTAATCAGTATGTCTAAGAGCAAGATTATCGACTAGGATTGTGCTATTCACACACATTTTTTACCTCGCACACACTCTTGTTAATTTTTTGTCATTGATCTTCTTCAATTCATTCAATCTAACGACTGAAAGTTGGGATGGATGTATGGATAACATTACCCTATCAACGATCCCAATTAATGGGTTTTTGTTTAAGATTAAGATTATCAACAATCCTTATTAATCATGCTGATAATCAGACACAGAAAAGTCATCATACAACAGATGACCATCCTTATAGTGAACACGGTAATAGCAGTCATCGCAGAAGACGGGTTCTCACGAGCCCACTTGTCGTCGGCCGTCACCCTCGTCGCTCTAAATACTTCACAAGCATTACATTTTCGTGCAACCGACTTCAACTGAAATAAGAGCAATGGATAAGCTGCCTCGTTTCGTATGTCTTGCGGATGAAGCAATCTCATGTCTCTAATTACAATTCTATGTCTGCAATCTCCCTGGTGACAGTAGAGATATTCAACGCCGAGTCGGAATTTTAAGTCACAAAACCAAGTCCTGTGCATGTCAAGGGTTCTGAAACTTGGCAATTCAGAGCTCGTGACACCGTTTACAGTTCTTTTGTGACATTCCGGTTACAAGGCATTTCCATTTTCTGAAAGCCTCGTCATTCGAGTTTCTAAGCCAACAGAGTACAGGTTCGCTGTAATCTACTGCGAATGGATCCCTAAGATCGTTGCAAAATGTGTCTTCGATAAGGAAGTGTCCCGAAGGATCATGTTGACCGGCCTTCTGCATCGCATTGTCTGTTGAGCAGCAGATCTTATCCCTCAGTTCGGTTAAAGTTTGCTGTCTAAGAACCAACAACTCTCGGATCTTCATCCGTTTTCGCACGTTATGGTAAACCCCAATTGAAAGAACAACTTCTGGATAGTGCACAGGCATGGAGTAATCCTGAATGCTGGCTGACATTTTTATCTTCACAGTTGAACTTGCATATCTTAGGGTTTTCATCTTATCATAAACTGCCCTAGAGGACGTAGCGGCGTGATCTGCATGGATATTCGAATTGGGGTTTGAATTGAATGAATTCAGCGTCTCACGGCTGCTTTGTCTTCGTCTTGCTTCTATTTGATTCTTTTTATACGCCCCACCTTTGCAATATAAGTTTCGTCCAGAGCTTGGTTATAATATTTTCCTCGTTTTCTCTTCTTGGATTTCTTTTCACAAGTTGTATGGCTTGATGTCTCAGAATCTTTTGCTCTCCCTTCTTGTTCATCGTCCTCAAACGCTACCTTGATAGCCATGTCCACCAACTCCTTATCGGTGAAGATTTTAAGCTCGTCCACCCAAATATCTTTGTCAGAAACCTGGGACGAATGTGAAGATACTTCGGCCTCTAAATCCTGGATTTCTTAGATAATGGAAGACTGAAACAAAGGGACGCTGGTGAGGCGACCTACCAGATTGGGGACGTATATCGGCCCACCTCTGAGAACTGAGAGCTCCTCCTCTTCCTTATCACAACCGTTGTTGTTAACTTCAACACCGCCTGCACTGCCGTTCTCTGTCATAGTCATTTATCTGTTAAGGGAAGTCTAGGGTTTCTGTGTGATAGAGGCAGAGATTATATTTTTTCTGTTGGATTAAAAGGTTTCCGACCAGGTCGGACTTTAAGTGTTTTTCTTTTTCTTATAGGATTTTAATTACATATAGGGTGGCTTTTGCTTTGAAGTGGTCTTGCTGATTCATTCTTTGCCGACCCTTGATGAATTAGCCGACGCCAACGATCATGTTCCGGCTAATCATCTTCACAAAAATGTTCCCATGGATTACGATGATCATGCTCCGGCTAGGGTTTCGAAAAACTTGAGAGTGCCCGACAAAGATAGGCTGATATAATGCAGAAATTGTTGCCCCCCACAATTTTTTTCCGTGACAAGTGTAAGATACGCTGATACATATATGGACTACTTTCATGCATCAAGTGTAAGATCACAAAAAGCTTACTTGTTTGCTTGTTAGTTTACAGATTGTTTTTCAGAGTGCATATAAACCAGCAATTGGTTGTCACAAGCTACGGCCACAGCACCCGACCTCGAGTCATCGGTAGCAATACAAGAAACACTGCCACCTGATACCATCACAAAACATAGTGTAAAAACCATCAGTTCAACAAAAAAATAAGCAAAATGATTCATCAGTTTCGTCTGAACCATGACTATCATCTATCAAATATTAGGAATCTGAGGCAGAATGAAGCAATCAACCAGAAGCAAAAGCACAGCAAATGTAAGTCATATACTGATGCATGTTTCACTAACGAAATCTACCATGAATGAAAGGCTGTTTCTAGAACCAATTATTGTAGGGTTCATAGTTCGACAACTTCTGCTTTCTAACATTATTCTTTAAGATGGTAATCGCGGATGCATACCATTAAAATGATGCATATCGCCAAGTTTAGTTCCTGTTGATAACTCCCACATATACACAAGTCCATCACTAGTACCACAGATCCCTTGACCAGCCGATGCACCAACAACAGCAGCTCTGTACAGAGAGTTTAAAAGTTAATAAAACAGCTGAATTCTCAATTCTGGAAAGGTTTGTACCCTCTCATTGTTTAAAAATAGTAATGTCCAATAATCAGCAATACATTCTAATCATCAGAGAAACACCTGTAGACAGGCATTTCAAGTTTATCTTTACCAATGTCTAATCCTTGAGACTTTCCTCGAAAAAAGCAGAAATTTCTACTCTACGTGTTCTAAGACCAATAACTGAACTGAAATAGCATAGAAAATACCAGATTAATATGAAATCAGTCGATTAGTTATTGGCAATAACTGATCTCAATTTCATAAAGTTCAATGCCCCGAAAAATAGTTGAAGAATTCCATTCCAGTGCACGAAAAGGTCAACACACCTTGGATCCAATGTACTTCCGAAGATCATCGTATTTTTCACCATTAGAGCAAGCCTCCACCTTCCCACTGGGTTTAAGTCACAATCACCGGACATATAGTCTTGACTATCAAAATCAGAAGATGATGAGACAAGAAGCCAGACAGCAAGGTCTTCCCCCTCCAAGGAAAATTGGCCATCACATGTGGCAGGCATCATTTGCTTGAGGTGTTCTTCTATATCAGAGTAGCCGGAAACAGGGCACTGTATTTGCCGAGTAAACAAACTGACAGGAATGAATTGACAGACTGAAGTGCTTGATGCAGAGAACGTTGACACAAGGATGCGTTTAGAAATATCCCTGAAAGAAAATGCCGTTGCATGTTACTACTAATCAATTTTACATAGAATGAAATTGATTGCCCAAAATTTTCATATTAAATTAGGTCAATAACAAACATATAACCTATTATACACAAAATTCATATAACAGGCGAACTGGAAGCTGATAGAATAAGACAACAGAACTAATGGCTGGAAACTTTTTATCTAAATAATCCAGATCAGGTAACACAATTAGGATCAAGCCTATATGATTCCACATAACAGTGAACCAGTGATATTTTACTTTATGAAAGAAGACTACTTATGTGCTGTAGGCCTCCTCAGTAGTTTAAGGAAGGCATACCATAGACTGAATTCACCACAACCATTATGGCCAACAACTATATGAGTACAATTTGGAATTCCCTTCAACTCCACTATTCCAGGGGAGATGCAATCTTCAGCTGGCAGAACATAATTCTCTATCTGTGCACTGCAAACAAGGAATTTGAAGCCCCATTAAAATTTGTTTAACACAAGATATGGAAACAACTCGAAACAGCAAATGATTGTCGGCAAACATGAAAATCAGTAACGCAATTTGTGGTGCACCATCAGATTTAATCGATTGGCTAGGAAAAAAGGGGAAAAATATCTCAGAACACAAAGTGTGCACATGGCACGACTTACAAATAGACAATTGCGTAAGGTTATAGGCTTATAGCAAGTGCCACGTTTCCCCACTGAACTAGTGGTTGATGTATTAAAGGTAAATCTAGTACAAAATCTGCACCAGCAATCAAATACCTGGACTTTTGACACAATACTCCCACTCTATTGAAAATAACACTTATAAAGCTTGACACCCACACTTGTATTAGAGTTGTTGAAAGAAAGGTTTTAGATACTCACCTCCACATTGAGTTCATAACCCACAGATGCAGTCTCCCACTTTCTCCAACAGCAACAATATTGTTGGGTTTACAAACCAATATACATTCTAAACTGTCTACTGCTTTCAATCTTGCCACCACTGAAACATAACCGAGTTTTACTTCCACAATCTTCACTGTATTCTCCTCTGAGCAGTTTGATGTACATGTGAAGCATGAACAATCGATACTCCCCTGCCTAAGAATATTTAAAGGAATCCTTATTAGTAACTTTAATCCTAATTTACGACATTACTTTTTAAAAATCTGCATAGATGGTTAACCTGCAGTAAGGTGTTTTAATGCTGTCAAGTAAAACAAGACATCGCCCATCTGGAGTGAATTGCAAACTGGATCTTTCCAAAGAAATCTGGCAAAGAGTAAACACATATGTCAAAAAAATTGATAATAAAGCAAACAAGTCTACCAAGTCAAATGAATACAAGAACTTACTTTACCAAAGTAGTCTTTTCGCATGGGCCATGTTACGGATGTGTGACCAACAAAAGAAGGGCATCCAACACATGGTCCCTCAATTTGTATCTTGTAGATGAATAGGCTTCCGTCCTTGTCAACCAGATGGCCACATAAAACACAAACGTAAGTTTCAGTCCCCTTTGCACTCAACAATGCTGACAAAACAGGACTTTGATGGGAATAACATCCCACAAACTCAAGATTGCCCGCTAGTTCGTTATTAAATTCCATACTGTGAGACTTCGAGTCTGAATGATGTGGAATACTATTGTGATCATGAATGATGCTCATCCCCTGTTTCTGAGATGTTTCAGAGTTGTTTAACTTGAGGAGGTTCTCGTGTTCAACCACATCCTTGTCAACATGGTTTTCTACACGTGAAACAGGCAAATCAAGTGAGTACGAAGTATCTTTTTCTCCAGAGGCAACAAATAATGCTTGATCTTGTAATGCAGCAGGAACACTACTGTTTATGGGACCTTGAGATATTGTGGAAGGTTTCTCTGCATTCAAACAACTGGAATGTACCCCAATCTTGGCTTCAGCACAGAATGAATCTCTCTTATTTGAAGTGTCATCAGAAGAACCCATTTGCAAAGTCTCCAACGCAAGCAAAGTCTCTGTGGAAGGGTATGATTCAGGCACATAAATATCACCATTATTTCTGCATACTATACTCTCTGAGAACGGAGCACTGTAATTTCCTTTGTGAACTTTCCTCCTGGTATATACTAAGTTTGAAACTTTAGTAAACGACTCATTTCCAATTTCTGCAACAGTTCTCTTATCAGCATTTTCATTCTCTGATGTTTTTGAAGAATTCAACATGCCTCTTTGGTTATCATCAATTACATCTATCGTTGAATAACCAGAATCAGTACTTGAGTTAGCTAGAATTTCATAAGAAACAGTGCACATAGAGTTGGAAAAAAAAAATATGGAGTTCGGATCACTAATTTGTTCATAACCTGATAATAGAAAAAAAGTACCAGAGTCAAGAAATTGTAACAAATTGTCACAACTCACAAGGCGAAGAAACTAAAATGTCATGTCATTTTATCTAACTTACAAGGCCAGTAGAAATAGAAGGTGCTTCATCTCAACAACTAGACTGAAAATGAGTACTTTAGATAGACATATCCCAGAATTTGGGAACCAAAATAAAATTTAACTGAAACAATTGGTGTAAAAAAATTACCTTCAGGGAGATTAACTGAAGTTTCATTGCTTTGCTTAGATTGGATAACACCGAGTGAGCATCCATCCCTATTAGCAAATTCATCCCTGATTTCTTCAGAAACGACTCTGTTATGAGGAGATGTACAAACTGGTATAGACCCAGATATGTATGTGTCACATTCCTCAAGCCTCCCAGTAGAATCCATGCATACATCCTTATAGGGAAAGATATATTTGCTTCCATTGATCTCAAGATGATTATCTAATGATTTGTTATGCTTATTAACAGAAACAACTTGCCCATAACTGTTGAGAAGGCATGCATCATCAGAAGTATCTTCATCAGCTTCAGCCTTATCAGAGGAACATATCATGTGGTTGACTACACGGTCACCATATTGATCACCCTCTAAACTGTCAGGAACAATAGACCTTATTGGAACAATTGAACCAAGATCGCTATTTAGGATATACATCCCTTCTTCCTCAGCATCTTTAGTTGCAGCAAGCATTACACCTACAAGTATAAAGAAAAGAATAATCAACCAACTATAAAAGGGCCGAGTGTAAAAATAATAACGTTCAATAAAGTACCAGGGGATGGAGCACTGGTTTCATTAATTTCCTCTTGAGATTTCACCATACAACGCAGAATTTCTGAAGGGCTAACAGTACCCTTTTCCTTTCTCGAACCCTTCTTCAGGAAAGGAATAGCTTGTGGAAGAAGAAATGCCATCATTGACTTGGCCATTTCTTGTCCAACTGAATCAAAATCATTAATTTCAGAACTTGCATTTGGTTTAGAAGCGTCTGTTTCTTGTTCTGGGTGTGATTCAGTCACCAAACCTTCAGAAATGACCACATTCAAGGCACTTCTATCCTGGATAGTTGAAGCAGATTCAGAAATATTATCTGCAGTTAATGCCAAAATAGTGGAATAGATTATCAATTACCAATACTTGAAGCCACCATCTGGGGTGCCCACAATGGAATGGCATACTATGAAACAAGCGGATATTTAATGATTACCCTGTGTAAAATCTAAGGTATCAGGAGCACAAAGATCAGTAAGAGCTTCGGAATCTTTTGGTATTGTAGAATCCATATTTTTATCTTCTGGTGCCATCAGGTCGAAATCTTGATACCTGTCATGCTGTAGAGTATGTCATTCAACAGAAAACCGACTACAGAACCATAACATAAGCAAAACTGAGGACAAATGGACAACTTTTCTGAACAAGCTTAGAGAAGCCTAGTTTGGACTAAGCACAGTGATGTGAACAAATATTTAAAGATATGTGAGAATGTGTGTTTTCAAAAGGTTTCCACGGATATGTGAATCAAACTGGAATCAACAAAATAGTGAAGTGTTTTCAGCTTCCTATGGGGTTTTGAGGGAAGATGAATAAAAAGGGAAATGAGCTCACAGGTTTTCCTTCATCTACAGGCAAGTTGCTGGCTAACACAGTAGATTTACAACTTCCAGAACAATCCAAAAGCATGGCTTCTTCATGGGCAGAATCCTTCCTGAGATGATTGGAGAAGCAAACAGAATCCAGTGGTAAACTATCTTTGGCTGAAAAGTCACTCTCTTCGTGATGAGCAGGTACTAAATGCACTAATGGTGGCGAGACTTTTGGATGTGATTCTGTCAGCAACCCTTCAGGAATGACCACCTTCAAGGCACTTCTATCCTGGATGGTTGGAGCAGAATCAGAAGTCTTATCTGCATTAAGACGACAAAAATGAAAGATGATGATCCATTACCATTACTTGAAGCCACAAGCTGCGGTGATCACAGTGGAACTACAGAGTATGAAACAAATTGAGAGTTAAGATTACCCTGTGTTAAATCAAGGGTATCTGGAGCATAAAGGCCAACATCAGTAAGACCTTCAGAATCTTTTGGCACTGTAGCATCTACATTTTTGTCTTCTAGTTCCATTGGATCCGCATCTTGAGACCTATCAAGCTGTAAGAAGTTGAGAATGTCTCAATCAACAGAAATTCACAACAGAACTGTGAGTCTGACACAAGCAAAATTGATGACGATGGACATCTTTTCTAAACAAGCATAGAGAAGCCTAGTTTGAAGTAAGCAGTGATGTAAGCAAATAAATACTTGGGCAGATGTGAAAACTTGTGTTTTCAAGCATCTACAAAAATATACGAATCAAAAGGGAACCAATAAAATAGTGAAGTATTTTCAGCTTCGTTTGGGGTTTGGGGGGAAGATAATAAGAACGGAAAATGTGCTCACACGTTTATCTTCATTTGCAGACAAGTTGCAAGCTAGCCCAGTAGATTTACAATTTCCAGAACTTGTAAAAAGCCTTGTGTCTTTATGAACAGCATCCTTCCTGATATGATTGGAGACGCCAGCAAAATCTAATGGCAAACTATCTTTGGCTGAAAACTCACTCTCTTCTTGATGAGCAGGTAATGGTGGCAATACCTTCAGATATTTACAAATGTCATCTTCATTCACAGCATTCTTCCCATTATTATGATATCTCTTCTTCCCTTTTGAAGCCTCAGCTACAGATGCCAGATATTCAGGTCTGCTTCTTCTAATGCTAGCCGAACTGAATGACTTCGAATTTACAAGTTCACGTCTCCTACTTCTCTTCCCTGTGATTCGTGGTGTTGCCACGAATGAACATGGCTCTGGGGAATGATTATCGACATCTGTTCCAGAGGCCCTGTTACAGAAGCTCAAAGGTAACAAACTCCTTTCTGCTGTTCCATTAACATTTGCTGCCATCTCCCGAAGTAACCTCTGGACAAATGGATTTTTGAAGCCAAAAAACTGCATTTAAAACGCAAAAAAAATCAATCCTCTGAGTTACTATCATTTTCTGTTTGATTTATTTCAGCAAACATGTGAAGAATGAAGTAAAATGGAAAGGAAATCCTATGCTACTCTAGCAGACAAAATGGTTAAATAATAAGTATCATCCTGCATAAAGGTTGATCAGATTCAGAAAAGGCGCCATTCCAATGGACGAGATCAACAATAAAATAACCTATATCAGAAGGACTAGTTTATGGAGAGTTGAGTCATGAGTTGAAATTAACTGAACATGTAGAAGATGACTAACACAATAAGTTGTCACATAGCATAGTTTACTGTGTCACTAGTGAATGTGTTTCAGATGAACCAAAATCTTAACGTTGCTAAGGACATTTATGTTTTTCATGGTAATTAACTTAGACATTTTTCTTTCTTGCTAGGAGTGTCCACAGAAAAAAGTAACAACAAAACCCAATTGCTTACAATAAAAGCAATTCCGAAGTAAACTACAAACGAAAAAGGAATCAAATTCTACCTCCACACCATCAATCTTGCACGAAAACCTCTTCCCGTGCCAAATCTTCAACCGGGGAAAAAATGTCTTCTGAAATTTCTCCCATGCCATATCTGGGGTTTGCCCAGAACAGGATTGTCCATCAGCACAAATAATCTGCACATTTAAAAAATTACCTTTCCATTCAAGCATAAAATCAAAATATGCAACCGAAAAAACTGAATGTCATTAAGATATCATTAAACAATCAAAAGCTGCAGGGGTTTGGCTACAAACCGAAAATAAAGGTCCTTTAGGACCTTCTTGAATCTCCGTCTTATATGTGCTCCCATTGTGAGCTCGAACCGCCTGATACCCAACCGGATACGGATACCGATCTTTCCCCTACAAAATTTCAACACAATTCAACAAAATTTCAAAGACAGCATGAATTCATGTTAAAATTAGGATTATACTGAAAATAAGCACCAACTTAATAGTCTTATAATACTTTATCACTAAACTAATTACTCATCCTAATTTAAATCAATCAATCAAATCTTACAAACCCTAACCTAAACTCTAGATTTTCGAAATTAAGAGGAGGGAAAGACGAAAATCGAACCCGGGAGGAGCTCCAGTACTTCTTGTCCCAAGGTCCGGTGTAGAGGGAGCCGATGGATGTGATTTCGAGATCGTCTGGCTTCTCCGCCGCTCCACTGGGTTTTGTTTCTCCGGGGACTTTCGGAGACTTCGTCATGTTTTAGGTCTGAGCTTTCGAAAAGGCGACAGTAAATTAGCGGCAAAATATTTAATTTATATTTTTCAGAGAAAGAGAGGGAGGAGGAGGTGTTTGTGGCGGGAACGAAAACGAGAGGGCCTTTTGAGATTGAAGAAATTAAAAGAGATAATTACATTTCATACCTTCTAGGTTTGAGATATTTTTCAAATTGGGCCATAAAGTTTCGGAAATAGGAAATATCCCAGACCTTTCTTTAACTATTCAACAACCTGCTCCTCGAAGAAAGGGAATGAATTTAAATTGTATCAATTCATATTTTTCTAAGAAATTATTTGAATATTCATTAAATTGATGATCTGATGAAAGTGAAATCCGTAAATGGGTTAGCATGTAGGTCATATTTGTACTAAATTAATTAAAAACTCATTAATTTAAGAATTTAACGATCAAATAAATAAAAAATGTAATTCATACAATAATAAAATCTTGTTGTGCAATGTGAAACAACTAAAGCCCATATGACACATTTTGAAAATCACTACATATTTGAGGGTAGTTAGCCGTAATTAAAATTTTAAACCACCTGAATTTGTATTTTGATATGTGACCCTGCAATGTGATTGGCCAATGGGTTGAAAACGAGAAAAGCCTGTTTAGAAGAACCATTTGATTGGTGGGTGACCGACAGGAAGAGAAAGTTCATAAAAGTCGAGGCCGAATATAAAAAAGGAAGCGCCGTTGCCGGGGATCGAACCCGGGTCACCCGCGTGACAGGCGGGAATACTTACCACTATACTACAACGACATTGTTGATGAAGTGTAATTCGTCTTTTTAATTAATCTAATTGGAACGAAAAGCTCCCATTCTCTCCATAAGTACAAACGATCGGAATCCTACAATAAATTTGAAAAATAATAAATAAAGGAACATATATAATGGAAATCTTAATCAAAACTATGAAAAACAAACCAAATCTACCAAATTGCGAACGCCAAATCTAGTAGATAAATTTAGTAACTTCCAACACTCTTAACCACTTATTTTGGTGAACGAACTCAAATTCACTGATGCTAAAGTCTCTAGTATTTGTGTCTACTTAATTATAGGTGAGATGACTAACGCTCAACTTGCTTGGATGCGAGTTTGACATATAAATCGTTTTGTTTTGGTTTTTTAAGGTATTTCCTGTGTTTTGTTTTGATTTTTTAATGTTGCATTGCATCTTGTTTTCTTGTCAATATTACTCGTGTAGAATCACAAAGTATTTCGAAATTTACTCTAAATCCTTTAGTTTTACATGATATACTGAGCCAAGTCTCTTCTACACCAACAGGCCACAAACATGTAGTTTGTCCGTCATTTCTAAGGCTACGTACGATGTAATTTGTTTGTTTGGACTTTATTATATAAATATTCTCTACCTTCTGACAAAAAGAAAAGGCCACGACCATGAAGATAAAGATATTGGACATGGTAGGAAGGTGTATATCGCCATATACTACTATTTTTCAATTGATAAAAAGCGATGAAAAAAGAAAGAAAGAAAAAAAAACAAATTGTCCTTGGCTCAAGTAATTGCCCATTGTCGTCGTACTAGGTATGTGCCAGGTTAAGAAATTGCTGATGGCCACTTTAATCCTTTGTGAGTTGCTTAGTTTGGATAATTTATTGATCACTCATGCTTAATTTAGGTTGTATTGTGTATAGTATGAGGAAAGTTTAGTTAACATAGATTTCCTTACCATTTCGATTGACTCACATAAATCAGCTCGTACATGTAAAAACTGATAGTTAATTAATAAACACGGATATATTATTACTTTTATAAGTAGGTTGTTGGGCCTCGTTTTCATCATATATGGTTAATGGCAAGCCAGAAAATTACCACGATAGAGGTCTTAAAATAGAAGCTTCCAAAAATTGATCATACTGTAACTTATAATTGTCAATTTATAATTTGTATTTTGCAAAAATTCATTCCAAATCAATCAATTCAAAAATCCTAAAAATCTCATTAAGCCCGGATGGGAACAATATTGATATGATTGATTTTGTGATACAACCAAGAGCGATGAAGGGTGCCGGCAGAACTTGAACACCGGAAAAGCTTTAAGTTAGAAGATATGAAGTTTGGGTGGATAAGGCATTTGCGTGTTGATAAGTCTTCAACGTGTTTGATAATTAACATGCAAACTTGTCAATCATATAAAACTCCAAAACCAACTGTGTACCCTGTAGGCAAAAGACACGGGCACGCGGATTGGACAAACCCTAGTTTTTTTCTTGGTCGAAGATCGGAAACCCTAGCATGGGTAATCCTGTAGCTACAACTCTGATACAAGTATCGATCGGTTAATCAAAACCCTAACAAAAACTTTTAAAGTGTCAGAGAATGGACTAATAAATATAAGTGCGTATTATTAAATGAATCAACGTAACAACTAGAATGAGAGAGAAGGCGCCCTAAAGGTTAGGGAAGTGTACACATGAAGACAACCACATATAGGTAGCTGGAGCCTAGAAAGATATGGTGCTGAGATGGGTCTAATCTGAATTTCCCGATAGAGATAGAATTTGGAGGTGGCCATGCATCCAATGATTGTGTCCAAATATGTTAAGGAAGGGAACCACAAGTTGGATTGGAACAAGATCGATCATACTCATGAGTTATGACGACTTGAATAAGAGATTCTCGTTTCATGTCATATTTGTCACCAATTTACTACAAGTAATTTACTTTTTGAACACACACCAAGTACTTATTAGACTATAACTATAACATAACTAAATCTTTGTTACACGAAATAAAGAATCTCTCAACCAGAAGCCAGAAGGGTATGGTCTGGTAAGTGGTGGAAATTTGGTAAGGTTCAAAGATGACATGGGAATCTCGTGCGGCGTCCAATCCACATACAAAGGGCTATCATGGAGAAGCAGAAAGACGCACAAGAGAGAGAGGGCTGCAGCCTGCAGAGGCAGGCATGCAATTTACTCCCATGGAAAGGACTAAATTAAGTAGAAAATGCAGGCATGCAGAAAATTGAAAGGAAAAGGAGACCTTGGGAAAATAGTTTTATACACGAGCAAAGAAAGCTGGAGATTCAAGTGTAAAAATGGCTTTATTTCCTGTTTGGGAAACCGAGGGAATCGTCCCATCACATAAAAAAGACGCAGATATAATTATAAACAACCCATGTCCTGGCAAGCGATTTGCCTTTTGCTATCTCCTAAATTCAATATTCACACTGTGGACTGGTGAGTGAGGAAAGTGACATGTGATTTCAGCACTGGTCTCTTTCAGGTTTCCAACTTTGGCATTGCACCCACAAAAGAAGGAAGGGATGACAGGACCTCTTCTCTTCACTACTGGAGTACTACTATAGCTATGCTATGTTTACCTTTTCAATTTTTTCTTTGATTTTTTTCATTGATTCATTCACCTTCATTCAGTTCTAACTTTTCATTCATTCAACTCATTAAATTTCTAGCCGCCTGGTTACTGGTTGGCTCCAAATTCCAGTTCATATTTACTACAGGCTAGATAGGTTGTCGTCGCATTGCATGATTAGGGTTTATGGATGCATGAACAATACTCGCCAAATTTATTTACCATACAATCTGTTATATGTGTTCACATTAGCATCTTACTTGTTACAATATAAACGAAACTATTTTCTCAATTTATCTAATCTCTTACATGATGTGGAACTCATGAGATTCTGGGACAGTGGAGATATTAATTCTATGTGACAATGCGGATAATAGTTGGTCTTAGATGTATATTATGTCTAATGTTCATCAACTAGCTATCTCTCTCTTATCGAAAAAAAATAGCTGTCGCTCTTGAGATACTTTCTTATGTTTGTTGAAAAATGTCCAATTTAATTTGAATCCCTACAAAGTTGTACCCTAAACTGAAAGAATAATACTTGGTTACTCAAAAAATAAGTAGGAGTTTCTACTCAAAACATTCGTTGACGATCTATATAACTTCGTATTTATGATCATATTATAAATCATTTTATAAAGAGCGCTTCTGCAAAAAAATCAATTAAAACTAAGGTCGTTTAGTCCTCAAATTATATAAAGCAGATGAACAAAATTGTCAAAACCATTATGAACTATCTATGTATTTGTTACAATAGATTGACTAAACGACTTTAGTTTTAATTCATTTTTTTGCAGAAATGATATTTACAAAGTGATTTGTAATATGAACGGTTTTGATCAAAAGCACAAACATTTGTAATTCAAACACGAAGAGTTTTAAGTAGAGTTCTTACTTATCGTTGAGTAGCCAAGCATTGTTCAAATTGAAAAATAAAATTTCCCGACAATATTTTGCATTTTGTGAATTGTCCTAGGTTCCTATAGATGTCAATAGGCAATAGGGTATAACACAAAAAATGGCTAAATGTTATTTTCCAAATTGTTTCTCTGGTGGTCTTGTTGTGTAACAATCTTTTGGATGGGACATGTCCTCTATTGTGGGATACTGCAGGGTAAATAGTATATATAATAGACATGGGGGTGATTAAATCTATATACTTTAATAGTTGAGATGTAATCAGATTAATATTACTTATTTTTATAATTTAAATAATTATTTATTGAAAAGAAAATTCTTAATTAAAATTTTATTTTCTCTCAACATATGAACTGTGTTTCATTAATCCTAACCTCCATTATTAATTTCTCATTCCACTATCTCTTCTCCAGTTCTATCGTCCTATGCATCTTTTTCCATCTTTTTTCTCTCCATTCTCTTCCCTGCTATCTCATTATTTATTTCTCCTTCCTTTTTTTGCTAATCTTGATAAGTGGTGGAGCCAGTATGTGATCCACCGTTGACAAATCTCTACATATCATAGTAATTGTTAACATTGGTGGCATAAGTCTTAAACAAATATTGGCAAGAATAGACATGTTCTTGCCATATGCTAAATGAAATGGTCCAATGAAGTTTTTTTTTTTTTTTTTTTTTTCAGTCGAAATCATGATCTCATTATTTAAAAACTCTGACTCCACCACTGATCGATCTTGATAGTCGCATAAGTACATTGTACAAACTACAAAGTACCAATCAAATCATGCAAAACACTAATATCTATTTCAACTTATATCTACACTACAATGAGAAATTTACTTATACAATTTTTTTTCTTATTGGGAT